TCCTGTCCCTGTGTTGGGATCAGGGATGTTTCAAACATAGTCTCACCTGCAGGAATTTGCTCACTGGCTTCTGATACTTCTCCCTTAGCTCACTGATCAGCTTCCTGAGACAAGAAATCTCCTCAGAGAGTTTAGTGATTTATTTTCATTCTGGATCTTCAGAATGAGCTTGGTCGCTCTTGTTCCTCAAGACACAATCTTTCACCTCTGGTTTGTTTCTGTTTCAGTAAATAAAAATAGGGAAAGGACTGGACAGGGACATGGAGGGAGCTGGAGTCCTTTCATGGAGTGGTGAGTGTTTAGCAGGAGAATTTCTTTTCAAACCCTAACATTTCGGACTCTTAACTATACCCTGTGGATTTTCTCACACAATCCTGTTTGACCCCAAGTGTTTTTTAGTCTAATTAGCTAAAACTTGGAAACACAAAGCCATTTCAAACTGGAAAGCTGGGATCTTTGGGTTTGACCAGTTTGAAACAAAACATTTAAACAATGTCAAAACTTAAAAATTGAAATCAGGCGATTTGTCAAACTCAGTCCTGTCATGTGAACAGTTTGGTTTTGATTGATCAGCATTTGTTAACAACAAAAACAAGTTTCATTAAAAAATTCCTGCTCAGCTCTCCCCCTTCCTTGGTCTCTTCCAAGCCCTGTTCCTGGGTTTCAGTGGCTGGGCCTGGGCAGACCAGAAGGAGCTACAGAAAAGAGATTCACTTCTTTGATCCACAGTGAGGAGCCCTCACACAGCCCCTGTACAGCAGCAGCAGGTCAGGACAGGCACTTCTGGTTGTGAGATCTGAGATGATGACAAGCTCCTTGTCTTGTGGGGTGAGGGAAGGGGAGAGTTTGACAGCAGGAGCTCAGGTCCCTTGTCAATGAAGGTGGGTGTGTGTGAGATGTGGCACTGAGAGGAGGAGGCGGAGTTGGTTCTCAGACATTCATCTCCCTCATCCTCACTCTCCATGGATGGGGTCTCACTGCACATGCTCTGCAATTCAGCCACCCATCTGCTCTCCTTTTCTGAGTGGGGGATACTGTCCCTGACCTTAGCTGTCTTCTCAGCCCACAGCTTCCCCAACACGGGCTCTGTCTTTTCACCCACAGAGGCTAGGTTCTAGGCTATTCATGGCTGCTGTTCCCTCCCCTCCCCCTCTGGGAATGCAGAGTGCCCCAGTGCAGCCTGGGAATGGCAAGGTCAATGTTTCCTTCACAGTGAAAAGGGAACCGTGTCCCTATTGGTGTTTGGGTCACAGATTCCATCCCGAAATAGATCAGGAGATACAAATGACAGAAAATACCCTCCACATAGTTTTAACAACTGATTTACTTATGATCAGGGAAACTGAGGCCTAACCCAAGTGGACAATGAGTCCTGCCTATTTGTGTGAATTTTGGTGGCTATGACTCATTGTTCCTCTTGACACCCTAATCACAGACAGTGAGACCATTCTGCGTTAACATCTCGCTGCACTGACACGGTGGAAACTGTGCCCACAAGCTGTGCTCACTGGATTGTTGGACAGCTCCAAGCAAAGGGAGCAGGTCAGTTGAGCCTGGAAGGTTTTTGCTGGATTCTCAGAAGCCCCAGTGCAGGGAAGAGAGGAGCTGAGTTTCATTTTCCTCATTCCACAAATGGGCTGCACCTGAACCTGGACCAGCAGCATTTGGGGATTTCTGTGTGAGGGAGGTGGAAAGGGCCAGATTCACAAAGGGGACTCAGACCCAGCATTGCAGCACCTATTTTTAGGCACCCAGGCTCCCTGTACAATGCACCGGGAGAGCTAGGGGCCTAAGAATGGGATCCCACAAAAGACAGCGCTCTGAGTGGGAAGCTGCCTCAGCCAGACAATAGGACATGTCAAGGACAGCGGTGTGGCCTAAGCCCCGTCCATCAAAGGGACTTAGGTGCCTGGCTCTAAACTGGAGGGAGGCAGCTCTCCCTACTTGGGATTCACAGCTATAAACCCTCTTCCAGGGTGAGGGGCCTACACCAGGTTAACCCCTTCTCATGGGAAATGAGAGGGATGGTACCATTGCCTGCCTTGCAGAGGTGAAAATAAGGCGGTATGGTCTGGTACAGTGGCAGTGATTTAAAGGGCCCAGGGCTCCAGCCACTGCGGGGAGCCCCGGGCCCTTTAAATCACCACCGGAGCTCCGGCAGCCGGGTTTGGGCGGGGATTTAAAGGGCCTGGAGCACCGGGCCCTTTAAATCACTGCTGGAGCCCTGCCGCCATTACTCCGCAGTGGCCGGAGCCCCGGGCCCTTTAAATCCCCGCTGGAGCCCTGCTGCCACTACCCCAGCAGCAGCAGGGCTCCAGCAGGGATTTAAAGGTCCCGGGGCTCCCCGCAGTGGCAGGAGCACCGGGCCCTTTAAATCCCCACCCAAGCCCTGCTGCCCCGGGGTAGCAGTGGCAGGGCTCCCACGGTGATTTAAAGGGCCCGGAGCTCCGTGGTGGCTGGAGCCCCGGGGCTCCCAACCATCTCTGCAGCTGGTAGCTCCGGGGTGATTTAAAGGCCCTGGAGCTTCCAGCCACAGCCGGAGCCCCAGGGCCTTTAAATCTTGAAAGGCCCCGCCTCGTCCGGTTGAGGCTCAGGACTCCGGCATACCGGTAGGTCCTTTAAGTTACTTTCACCCCTGCTGCCTTGTCATCTATGGCCCAGCAGTGAGGGCACTCAGCCAGGCTGAGGGATGCACAGCTTCAAATCCCTTCTCTGCCTGGCCTGGAGCAGGGACCTGAGCCCAGGTCTCCCATCTCTGAGGGGAGTTCCCTGGCCACTGGGCTCCGGGAGCTGGGGCTCTCGCAGTCTCTCCTCTTTGAGCTGTTCCACTTTTTAGAAAATAGTCATTGGAGCAGAGCCTGGAGCCATGGTCTCCCCAGAGAGCACTAACCAGTAGGCCAGAAATTGCTTTTATTTGCTTCCTGTTCTACTTGTCTCTAGACACAGGAACCATAAATACTTCAGACATGACAGTAAAGAAATACCAGCTGCTCTTCAATTAAAGGCTAGTGCTAAAGGTGCATGTTAACCCTTTGCTTGCTAAGAATTATTACCCTTGGGGTGTAGAAAGAAAAAATCCAAAATGGCTTTTCTTTCCTTTAATCACAGTGATAGAAAACAGCAGAGTTTGTTGCTGAAACTTTGTTTGCAAAAAACTCTCTTCATCCTAACTGAGAGCCCATTGTCATTGCCCTTAGTATGATCTGGCCACCAGCAGAGAGCCCTGGAGCCCTGAAGCCTCCATGTGTCCCCTGCATTGCACAAGCCTGCTCCTGAGACTCCTCTCTGTGGGGACACAGGGGCCAGTGCAACCTGCCTCTGAGGTTCTAGCAGCACAGCCTCTGCACAGACCGTGCTCCTCAGGTCAGACAGAAGAGCAGAGGAAAGGACCTCAACAATGATCTCCATTCATTGCCTCCGGCATAGCCCTCTTCCCCCAACACAGATCGTGGAACCCATGGGTTTGAGACAGTGGGACAACATCCCTGACATACCCATGGAGCAGAAACTCCCATCTGTAAGAATAATTCCAAGGAAACGCTTTGATGTGAAGTTTGCTGAGTTTCATTTTCCTGCTGTATCTGGGAATAGACCACAGTACGGCTCACATTGTCTCAATGGACTCTGAAATCTTTGCTCAGGGAGAACTCCCATTGTAGCCACTTCTCTCTTACCCCACGTTTAGTGTCAGGGGACTTGAGGAGTGAAAGGCGACATTAGCATGTGTGCTGACTCCTGGCTATGATGTGAAGTAAGAATAAATAAATGTAAAGTTGCCAGATGCAAATTCTCATTTTTTTTAAAGTGACCATTCAATTTTTTCCCCTGCAAACCCTTCTCCATGTGCGTAAATTTGAACTCAAAGGGATAACTCACACACACAAAGATCAGCATGTTCTTAAGAGGCTTCATGATCCTTATCCTCAAAATGAAGCTCCCAACTAATGACTGCAATTTTCAAAAGTACCTAAGGGAGTTAGGAGCACAAATCCCATTGACTTTGAATGGGACGTATGCACCAAACTCACTTAGGTGTTGTTGAAATTCCACCTTAAGTACTTAACTAACCACAGACCAAAAAAAAAAAATTGTTTGGAGTGAAGGTTGTGGCTACATTTCTATGGTTTGCTTCCTTTACATGAGTTACAGAAGCAGTGAGACGGCAAGGACATTCTTGCTGATTTGGGTGTCCAAAGCCCTTAGGACTGGAGGCTTTGAAAATCTCATTTTGCCACATTGGACATAGAAGACTGACAAACCATCAATGGATCACCACTGAGAACATGCTAGCCCATTGTGAGCTATGAAAAGAAATGGAAATGCTTGGCAGGCCTAGATAACCTATGGAAAGGTTCATGGGATGGCCCTATGAGTAAGACTGGTTGAAATTTTTGAATAAAAACTGATTTTTGATAAAATTTGGGTTTAATTTAAACAAAAATTTTACACTAAAAGTGTCTGCTTTCCATGACATTTTTTTGATTTTTCATCAAACAAACAAATGTCCCAAAACTGAACTATTTCAGCAGAAAACCAAAATACTTTGATGGGGGCATGCCACCATGAGTGAGTCTGTTCTATTGTTTCACAGCTATCTCTGATTACATTGGGACTGTCTGGTAGGAAAAGAGCCTCCACTGATTTGACTCACGACTGTGTCTTTACTTTCAGATGTAATAGAGTGCATCAACATTAACGTGTTCTCTGAAGGACTCTTCTATGAGGCCACGCTAATCCAGGCAGATCCCATCTCTTATGCTGTCTGTTTCTACAGGCAGAATCCTGGCTGTCGGACCTCGTATGTTACCAGAGCCTTCCACTCAGTGATCAAGGTGAATTTTATCCTAGACAAGTGAAATATTCTCCTGTGAATTGTAATTACCTCCAAAATAATGTCTGGTATCCCAGTCTCTCTTCTGGATTCCTTACCACAGAACATAGCATCTCTCCTGTATTTCTCATGATGACATTTCCTGAGATCACAAACAGGACTGCAGGACTTTCAAATGTTTGTTTTTATTTGAAGTTCATTTCGACAAAAAGTGAACATGCTCCTGTTTCTCATACTGGTCACAAAAGATGCGCTCTGCAACAAACCAGAATTTTATTTTTTTTAATCTTGATTCAAATTCCCCTCCCAGTGCCCCCACTTGCCAGCAACAATGATGCTGAAGAGGTTGATCACAATGGCTGAATTTGGCCCACTATGTTTATATTATGCCATGCCTTGCGGGGAGTGGGGGGAAGGAGTTATTGTCAGCTGGAAGTGAAGTGGTGCTCTCTGGATCTTAAAGCATGACCCACCACTGCCTGAGCTATGAGACCCAGCTCTGTTAGCTAAGGCTGTAGCAGGATCATCAATCTCTCCCGCTACTGCTAGAAGTGAACAGAGCATCATGCTGAATGGGGGTGGGTGACAGTTAGAGCCAGACATGCCAGCTACTAAAAGGCAGAGTGTTAATTGAACTGCCAAAACTTATTTTGACATTTAGATCTGTTGCAATGATACAGACAAAGCAAAGTACAGTGAAGATAAAATTGACTCAAAGAAGGATTTTCTTTCCTAATTTCTCCCTTAAAACATTTTCCATTCCTTTTTGCAAGAGAATTACATTTATTCCATATTGGTTTCCCCTTCTCCAATGCATGTTAAGGTTTGTGTATTTTGTTCTGCTGGGTAATTGACCCTCCCCTCCTATCTCCTTAGCCAACTTCACCTCTCCACTCCCAAACATCTTCTCTATAGGTTTTCCCCTCTCCAAACTCCACCTTCACACTCCCCACAGCACCTTCTCTCCCTGGGCTCCACCTCTCTCTCATTTTCTGCCACTGAAGACTGCTAGAGTCCTCCACCCTCGTGACGTTCTTGAGAGTCATTGGGATATTTTCCCCCATGTCTCAGGGACACACTGTGATATGGGATGGTCCACACAGGTATGAGAAAGATGTGTATATTCCTCTTTCCCCAACTGAGAAAAAAGGGCGGATTTTGTCCCCAGAGAAAGAGGCCGGTGGGAAAGTGAAGATCAGGGCCTCATTATCAACATCAAAAAATGTCACCTGCCCTCGTTCGTAGTCCAGAGAGACCCGAATCCTCCTGGGTTTATCAGCAAAAGGGAGGTGGGTCCCCTCAGGGGAAGTGTAAGCCACCAACCACCCTGCCCCGCTCCGCCGCAAAGCCCAGAAGCCCTGCTCAGGGCTAACACTGATCCTTCCCTTCCTGCTCACAGACTCTCTGGCAACCCCCAAAACCCAGCTTCTTGCTTCCCCCACCTCCACCTCCCAGCAATGTCTCCCCGAGGTGAATCCCTCACAACCTAGCACAAAGGGATCATTGTCAAATCTCTCCAGATTGTTGGGCAGATTCTGCCGTGTGAATCCCCATCTCACACTTTTCTGATCCTCAGAGAGGACTAGTCGGGGATGAGCCGTGTCTGGATCCAGAGTCACATTCACTGGGGAGAGAGAGAATCAGCGTTAGAGGCAGAGCTTAGCCCTGGGGGAGGCTGGGGGCCATTTCTCACACTCCCCAGCAGCTCTGTTCCAACTAGAACACTCCCTGATTTTCTGCTTCTGTCGCAAGGAGCTGCCTCCCTGGTGGGCTGGGCAGGGATCTCACTGCAGCTCCTGTCCCACAATCAATAGGGGTACTGTTGTAGCTGCTGCTATGAGTGCAGAACCCTTCCAAGCTGCTCCTTGTTCCCCCTGTGGCGCTGCCACACTCCTAGCTGCAGAGACAGACTGGGAGGTAGCAGAGCTGGAGTTGCCTGCAACATTCAGCGAAGCCACCAGCGATACCTGGGGCAGGGAAAACAGCCGAGGAAGTGGCACAGGGGAAGAGATCCTTTCCCCGCTCCAGAAAGCAATGACCCCAAGCTTCTCTTCCCATCCTAAGGGAAAGAGAGAGAGAGCAGGGGAGAGTCCAGGAAGGGGACAGAAGGATGTAGCAGAGGGACAGAGTTAAGGTTGTTTGGGTGCTAGCTGAGTCTGTTATTGTGGGAATTTAACTGATGATTGCCTTAGATTTAATTTTTTGTTTTCTTTTTAATTTCAGTGGAGTGTTTTGCTCTGTTTCAGCTTAATTTGTATTTAGGAAATTTATAAATTAATTAGGATTTTTGTGAGAATTTTACCAGATTTTGAAGAGAAAAATCCACACGAGGACTTACCTTTCTCATCTGCTCCCATAGATTGAAATATTTTTTTCTCTAATTCAGATGTCAGATTGTCCGGAGAAAAAAAAATGTTGACAGAAATTAGATGTTATGCTGATACATTCGTAATTATATCCCCTCTATTAATTAACAAACTTGTCTTTTGGAGGCCCATAGATAGGAGCATAGAAAGAAATAGACAGAGATTGAGAAATGAAGAAAGACACAATTTTTTCTAGTGAGGCTGGATTAAAATTAAACAATTTTTCATTTCTATTTACCAATTCGTCCTAGCATCCCATAGATGTCAAAGGCCAGAGGGGCCCATTAGGATGATGTGGTCTGACTATCTGCAGAACTCAGGCTAGAGAACATCACCCAGTGATTCCCACTTGGGGTTAGTAACTTGTGGCTGAACTAGAGCATTCTCTCTTCTGCTGATGGAGACTCCTCCCCCCCAAATGCTAAAAATTGTTCCACTGAGGAAGAATATTGGATTATTTTTAGGGCTGTCAAGCGATTAAAAAAATTAATCTCAGTTTTAATTGCACTGTTAAATAATAATAGAATGCCATTTATTTAAATATTTTGGGATGTTTTCTACACTTTCAAATATATTGATTTCAATTACAACACAGAATACATAGTGTACAGTGCTCACTTTATATTATTATTTTTGATTAAATATTTGCACTGTAAAAAAGGAACAAGAGAAACAGTTTTTTTCAAGTCACCTCATACAAGTACAGTAGTGCAATCTCTTTATGGTGAATTGAAAAATACTATTTCTTTTATCTTTTTACAGTGCAAATATTTGTAATAAAAATAATAATATAAAGTGAGCACTGTACACCTTGTATTCTGTGTTGTAATTGAAATCAATATTTGAAAATGTAGAAAAACAAAAAATATTTATAATAAATTTAAAGTGGTATTCTATTATTGTTTAACACAGCGATTAAAAGCTGCGATTAATCACAATTTTTTTAATCGAGTTAGCTCAAAACAAAATTAATCCCTTGTGTTAACTGCGATTAATTGACAGCCCTAATTATTTTACAATTATGTCTTATTTTGTTTTATTGTTAGTTATTTGTTAATATAGCAGAAGTGAAGCAAGGCACGTTACATACAGAGAGGAGCAGACGGACAAAATACACAGAGACACTCTGGAGCAAAAATGGAGACAGCTTTGGTGAGGGGAAGCATGGCCCAGTGGTTAGGGCATGAGCCATGGACTTGGGAGATCTAGGTTTAATTCTCTGCTTCACCCTAGACTTCCCTGTGTAGCCTTGGAACGCTATGGGTACATGTGCACTGCAAACTAAGGTATAACTGTAGCGTGGGTAGGTTAGCTAACATGGACAACAAGGGTAATTAAGTTGTGGTCACATGAACTTCAGCACGGGCTCCCCACCCAGTACAAGCCTGCTGAGAACCCTAGGTATGTACTCAGATTGTTGGTCCATGGTGCTGCGTTTTCACAGCTATTGTTACCTGTGCTTGGCAGATTAAGGGCACATGGTGCAACAATGCACACTACAGGGGTGTAATTTCTAAAGTGTACTAATGTGTGTTGCACAATAACTGGTGTGTGCAGACCCTGCTGGTGCACACTAAATGTTCCCTAGTGTGCTTTAGTGAACTATCGTTTCAAACTGCACTAGTTAGAGTGCTCTAGGGAATGTTTAGTGTGCACCAGCAGGGTCTGCATCGACCAATTAGTGCACAACAGAGCATTGGTGCATTTTAGAAATCACAGCCCCCTTCTGTGCATTGCTACACCATGTAGACATGCCCTGAAGCTAGCACGGATATACCTGCCCATGCTACAGTTCCACTTTAGTTTGTGGTGTAGCCATACCCTTAGTCACTTTGTGTCTCAGTTCTCCATCTGTACAGAAGGAGATAATAGCATTTCCCTATCTCACAAGAGTGCTGTGAGGATACATACACTGAACTGTGAGGGGTTCAGATACTAGGATAATGGACAATGCCAGGTGCTTCAGATGGAATGAACAGAACAGGCAATCATCAAGTGATCCATCCCCTGTGGTCCATTCCCAGCTTCTGGCAAACAGAGGTTAGGAACACAATCCCCGCCCATCCTGGCTAATAGCCTTTGATAGACCTATCTTCCATGAATTTATCGAGTTCTTTTTTGAACCCTGTTATAGTCTTGGCTTTCACAACATCCTCTGGCAACATCCACAGAGGTTGACTGTGCGTTGTGTGAAGAAATACTTCCTTTTGTTTGTTTTAAACCTTCTGCCTATTAATTTCATTGGGTGACTCCTAGTTCTTGTGTTATGAGGAGTAAAAAATAACACTTCCTTATTTACTTTCTCCACACCAGTCATGATTTTATAGACCTCTATCATATCCCCCCTTTGTCATCTCTTTTCCAAGCTGAAAAGTCCCAATCTTATTAATCTCTCCTCATATGGAAGCTGTTCCATACCCCTAATAATTTTTGTTGCCCTTTTCTGAACCTTTTCCAATTCCAGTATAACTTTTTTGAGATGAGGCGACCACATCTGCACGCAGTATTCAAAATAAGGGTGTACCATGGATTTATAAAGAGGCGATATAATATTTTCTGTCTTATTATTTTTTCCTTTCTTAATGAATCCCAACATTCTGTTCCCCTTTTTGACTGCTGCTGCAGATTGAGTGGATGTTTTCAGGGAACTATCCACAATGTGTCCAAGATCTCTTTCTTGTGTGGTAACAGCTAATTTAGACCCCATCATTAGAGTCTAACCTGTTAGAATCGCCATTATATACTGTGAATATATAATCCAGCTTCTTTCCAAATAAAGAACAGAAGTATTTACTGAATACCTCTTCCTTGTCTGTATCATAGAAATGTAAGTTAGGAAGGGACCTCAAGAAATCATATTGTGCTGAGGAAAAATGAATCAATACCTAGACCATCCCTGACAAGTGTTTGTCTAACATGTTCTTAAAAACCTCCAGTGATGGGGATTCCACAACCTCCCTAGGTAACCTGTTCCAGTACTTATCATGAAGTATTTTACCATCTCCATTTGGTTATAGACTTACACCATTGTTATGATCTCATTTGTTTCTACTTTATTTTTTTTTTAAATCCTCTGTATTGTCATTAACCCTAATGGTCATAGATTTTTCATGAATATTTGTAGCTTCCCTTATCAATTGTCAGTTCCTTCCCACATCCCATTTGTTATATGTTCTTTTCTTTAACTTGTTGCTTTCACTTGCCCTCTTAAAAGGATCTTTTCTTTTCAAGCTCATGACATTATACCAACATTCTTTAAGGGCTTCTCTACACAGAGTTAGTACACATTGAAATGGCTGATACACAAAATGCAAACCCTTCATGTGCACTAAATCTCCAATAGCTGCACAGTCTGTACTACTGTGCTACTTTCATGATATTATCATCCCTGATTTTAAGATGTGGGCATCAAGATTCCAAGGTTTCAAGATTCGGCACAGAGAGGCTAAGGTCCAAAATTTCCAGCATAATTTCTAAAGAGGAGATCTTGCTAACTTGTGCATGTGCCTAACTTTAAGGAAATGAGTAGTCCCACTGAATCCTTCTAGCTCCCCTTCTCGGTACCTTTGAATTTCCTCTGAGTCTCCATTAGAGCATCACTTTGGTTATAAGTATTAAGGCTCTCAGACAGTTCAGGAGAAATCTCCACCTGGTGCTGGAGCTTCACCTCCACACGCCTAGAGAAAATAATAAGATTGTTATTCATGTTAGGGAAAGTTACTGGCCTAAGGAGCCTAGGGAATGAATTACTTTGTTTATGCCAGCCTCAGAGCAGGTATAGCTCAGGCAATTGCAGTGTAAGCTTTCCCCATGGTGTCCCATCATGGTGCTTCAACCTTACCCATGAGAATCCAGCTCTAGGGATAAGAAAGAAATTCAGTCTCCAAAGCCAATTTACTTTCGAGCTCTGTGTTGTTCTGAACAATATGAGAGGACCTCTTCAAAGGCAGAAAAGACAATTTGGTGCCTATCTCCTCCTTTTATCCTTAAAAATCTCTCACTCTCTGTTATCATATTTCTGGTGCTCTTTTTTTCTGTGGACACCTGCCCACCGGGAACTGGAGTAAGACCCCCCGGCTCTGCTCCCTAGTATACTTCACAATTCTCTGAACACTCATCAGATGGTAAACATTCTGGATCCCTGCTGACTTGGGCAGGATCCAGTGGCCTATAGGTGAAAATCCCATATTCCATCCCTGGAATCCCAAGGAAGACAGTCCTCCAAGGATGGACTTTACTGGGAAAATATTTCAGGTTAATAACCCTTCCCATCCTATTGACACTTAAGGAGAGGACACCTACCTGCTCAAGATGCTGCTGTCCTCCTAGAGGAGAGAGAAAGACAGAGGGAAGCTCAATGTACATGTTGTAGTTAACAAAAAATTAGTTCTTAAAATCAGATCTTTGTGTTATTGTTATGGTGAAGTTTTGTTATGGATGGATACAGTGCTCCGAGTCTCTCAAGGCATCATGAAAAATGCAGAGTTAAAGTTGTTTGTGTTTGCTATGACTTTCCAGACTCTGAGTAGCTTCTTTACATTTAACACTGTATTTCTGGTTGTTTAATGTTTTTGTTTGTTTCTTACTTACAATGTTTTTGAAGGATTTTTACTCTTAATTGAGAAATTTGTAATATCAACCATGACTTCACCTTAACACATATGTTTGTCTGAGGATCATTGGTTGAATTAATAATGAAGTCTGGTAGAAGGTCAGATCTTCATCATAACTGCTCATTGCCTTTTCTATTTGGTGATTTTATCCATGGAAAGAGTATCATTGACTCCAGGCTGCAGGAGATTTGGGGGGGGCCTCACAAGTCTGTTTCACATTTGGAGCAGAAATTGGTGATGTGGAGCCAGGTATTTTGGGGATGTTATTTATTTACCAAATGTACACAAGCCCTGTTTCTTCAAGCACAGGTGGTGACAGGCTATATCTACACTTAAAATGCTACAGTGGCACAGCTGCAGCTCTGCAGCTGCATTGATGTAGTGCTTCAGTGTAGACATTTACTACAACATGAGCTACGCTGACAGAAGCACTCTTTTGTCGGCATATCTGTATCTACACGGGAGGCTTGTTGACATAGTTATGTTGGCTAGGGGTGTTGCCCTGGATTGGAGGGAGGGAGTGTAACCCAGTATATGATCAAGCTAATTGGAACCATATTATGTGCATTCAGCCACCATGAATTAATAAAATAGAACACCGCTTAGTTAAGGGTTAATTTGAAAGCAGGCTTTTAGAGGCAAGGTCAAAAGAGAGGAGAGAAAAGTAAATAATTGAGACTGAAGGAAGATAAGTGGATGGAAGACCTTGAGTTCAGGTGTCTCTGATATTAGAAGTTTATTGAAAGTTAGGAAGAGTGAGGATTCCTTAGGGGTCATTATGACCTATGTGTTTTGTAGAAGTTACTTATAAAAAGTCTAGATAATAGAGTGTACTTTGGAGCAGTCCTCTGAAGCCATCCTAAGAGAGATGATATTCCTGACACTTTTACTCCCCGGCAGGTGAGCAACTGGCCACTGTGTATCTGCCGTTAATTACTCAATACCATTCCAGACTTTAGGTAAGTATTTGGATGTTCTAAACCTATTGCTTATGTCTGTGCTTAAATCTAATAAATTAGATAGAGCACACTTACTTGCATTAATCTTTCATTCCACAAGTCCATGGGTCCAGATCTAATGCATCCAAGGGTGCTGAGGGAGTTGGCTGATGTGATTGCAGAGCCATTGGCCATTATCTTTGAAAATTCGTGACAATCTGGGGAGGTCCCGGACGATTGGAAAAAGGCAACTATGGTGCCCATATTTAAAAAAGGGAAGAAAGAGAACCCGGGGAACTACAGACCAGTCAGCCTCACTTCAGTCCCCGGCAAAATCATGGAGCAGGTCCTGAAGGAATCCATTTTGAAGCACTTGGAGGAGAGGAAGGTGATCAGGAACAGGAAACATGGATTCACCAAGGGCAAGTCATGCCTGACCAACCTGATTGCCTTCTATGATGAGATAACTGGCTCTGTGGATATGGGGAAAGTGGTGGATGTGATATACCTTGACTTTAGCAAAGCTTTTGATACGGTCTCCCACAGTATTCTTGCGAGCAAGTTAAAGAAGTATGGATTGGATGAATGGACTATAAGGTGGATAGAAAGCTGGCTAGATTGTCAGGCTTGTAGTAAGAGGAGGCCCTGAGAGATAAACCTTGGTATCAGAGGCCT